AATGCAGAATACTGTAAAAATGAATTAGAAACTATAAATAGGAACCAAGAAAAATTAGAAAACTCATTTGCAGAGACAAAACTGAGCTAAAGGCATGAACAGCAGAATGAATAATGCAGAAGAATGAGTAAGTGACCTGGAAGATAGAATAATGGAAATCACCCAATCAGGACAGCAGACAGAAAGCCAAATGAAGAAAAATAAGTGAAAGCAATATAAGAGACCTATGGGATAATATACAGCATGCCAATCTATGCATAATAGGGATTCCAGAAGGGGAAGAAAGAGAAAAGGGGATCAAAAATGTAATTGAAGAAATTCTGGCTGAAAACTTCCCAAACCTAAAAAAAGAAACAGATATCCAGGTACAGGAATCACAGAGGGTCCGAAACAAGATAAGCCCAAACAGACCTACACCAAGACATATTATAATAAAAATGGCACAAGTTAAAGAGAGGATTGTAAAGGCAGCAAGAGAAAAACAAAGAGTTAATTACAAGGGAACCCCCATAAGGCTATCAGCTGATTTCTCTAAAGAAACATTGCAGGCCAGAAGGGAGTGGCAAGATATATTCAAAGTCCTGAAAAGGAAAAATCTGCAACCTAGCACACTCTACCCAGCAAGATTATCATTTAGAAAAGAAGGAGAGAGAAAGAATTTCTCAGACAAGCAAAAACTAAAGAATACAGCAGTACTAAACTGATCCCAAAAGAAATACTGAAAGGTCTTCTCTAAATAGAAAAGAAGTAAAACTCTATAGGAAAGAGAAGATCACAACTGGAAAGTAAATCACTTAAATAAGCCAGACACAGATTTTTTTTTAAATCAAAAAATTTCTGTGAAAGTGATGATAACCATAATGAACAGCAAAAGGGTGAAGATGTAAAAGAAGACATCAAAATCATAAAATGAGGGCTTCCCTGGTGGCGCAGTGGTTGGGAATCCGCCTGCCGATGCAGGGGACGCGGGTTCGTGCCCCGGTCCGGGAGGATCCCGCATGCTGCGGAGCGGCTGGGCCCGTGAGCCGTGGCCGCTGGGCCTGCGTGTCCGGAGCCTGTGCTCCGCAACGGGAGAGGCTGCAGCAGTGAGAGGCCCGCGGACCACAAAAAAAAAAAAAAAAAAAAAAAACACACAAAAAAAATCATAAAATGAGGGGAAGGAGAGTAAAAAATGTAGATTTTTTTTCCTCCTATAATGTGTTTGAGCCTATATGACTCCCAGTCTAAGGCAAGTAGGTATAGGAAGGGGTTAACATACTTGAAAAACAGGCTAAGCACAAATCAAAAATGTACAGTAGATTCACAAAAGCCAAAAAGAAGAGAACATAAGTATAATACAAAAGAAAATTATCGAACCACAAAAGGAAAAACAAAAAGAAAGGGACAAAAAAGAAATGTAAAGTCAATGGGAAAACAAGGTTTAAAATGGCAGTGAATACATATCTATCAATAATTACCTTAAATGTCAACAGACTAAATGCTCCAATCAAAAGACAGAGTGTCAGATTGGATAAAAAACAAGAGCCTACAATATGCCACCTACAAGAGATCCACTTTAGGGCAAAGGACACACATAAACTGAAAATGAAGAGATAGGAAAAGATATTTAATGCAAATGGAAATGACAAGAAAACAGGGGTCACAATACTTATATCAGTCAAAATAGACGTTAAAACAAAGGCCATAAAGAAAGATAAAGAAGGACGCTATATAATGATAAAAGGACCAATACAAGTAGAGGATGGAACACTTGTCAACATATATGCATCTAATATAGGAGTACACAAATACATAAAACAAATACTAACACACATAAAAGGAGAAACTGACAGGAATACAATAATAGTAGGAGACTTTAACATCCCACTCACTTCAACGGACAGATCTTCTAGAAAGAGAATCAATAAGGCAACCGAGATCCTAAATGATACGATAGAACAGTTAGACTTAATTGATATTTTCAGGACATTACATTCAAAAAAACCAGAATACACATTATTTTCAAGTACACATAGAACATTCTCTAGGATTGACTACATCCTAGGGCACAAAACAAGACTCAACAAATTTAACAGTATAGAAATTATGTCAAGCATCTTTTCTGACCACAGTGGCATGAAATTAACCACAGGAAAAGAAATTAGAGAAAAATGATGAAATGGAGACTAAACAACATGCTACTAAAAATCTAATGGGTCGGGACTTCCCTGGTGGCGCAGTGGTTAAGAATCCGCCTGCCAGTGCAGGGGACACGGGTTCGAGCCCTGGTCCGGGAAGATCCCACATGCCGCAGAGCAACTGAGCCCGTGCGCCACAACTACTGAGCCTGCACTCTAGAACCCGTGAGCCACAACTACGGAGTGTGCTACACCTACTAAAGCCTGCGTGCCTAGAGCCTGGGCTGCACAACAAGAGAAACCACCACAATGAGAAGCCCCGCACACCGCAATGAAGAGTAGCCCCCACTCGTGGCAACTAGAGAAAACCCACATGCAGTAACGAAGACCCAACACAGCCAAAAGTAAATAATTAAAAAACAAAAAACTAATGGGTCAACGAAGAAATCAAAGAGGAAATTTAAAAATACCTTGAAACAAATGACAATAAAAACAACCATACAAAATCTATGGGATGCAACAAAAGCAGTTCTTAAAATTCATACTGACACAGACCTTCCTCAAAAAACAAGAAAAATCTCAAACAACCTAACCTACCACTTAAAAGAATCAGGAAAAGAAGAACAAATAAAATCTAAAGTCAGCAGAAGGAAGTAAATAATAAAGATCAGAGAGGAAATAAATAAAATAGAGATTAAAAAATAATAGAAAAAAATCAATAAAACCAAGAGCTGGTTCTCTGAAAGGATAAACAAGACTGACAAACTTCTGGCCAGGCTCGTGAAGAAGAAAAGAGAGAGAA